TGCTGAGGGGAGCAGCAGGCAGGTCAGGAGAGGTGTGCCATGCCATGTGGTCACCTCCAGGGCAGGTGGGAATCGAACTCATGTGGAAGTCGCTTTAGCTTCTCAGTGCTGTGCTTTAACCTGCTGCGCCACCAGGGAAGACCTCCTCTTTTATAATTTTAATTGAGGTATTGCTATTCACTATTTTAATCAACTCATGGAAACATCAAATTTTAATATCTAGGTCAACCTTTGGGAGTAAAAAAAAAGATGCCATCAAGAACTTCTCTCCAGAATAAATGATGTTCATTACCCCAAATAACCAAATTGAAAGTCTACCAAACCCAAAAAATGGCCCATACAGTAAAAAAGGAAATCATATTCTGGATGCTCAGTGGATTCAACAACTTTTACCATGTGGCTAATCATCCTCCAGCTGACTTTCAAAAATAATACCTTAACTCATCAATGTATATGTTTTCAGTTAGCTTTTTTAAATTGAGAAAAGAAAATTAGAAGGAATTTATTCGTTGTCTGGCTCATTTTGATGCACTACAAGGCATAGAAAGGTCAAGGATACATTCTAGTATGTGATCAGAGGACATTGACCTTCTGGTTGAACTTCCGTCCAAACAGTGTAAAATACCCACAATTCCTAGTCTGAAGAGACACAGAAGATTTCGTTTGAGGACCCCAGAGAACAATAAGATTGTTCTTTGTCAAGACACAGAGCTTCAGTCAAATTGACATGGTCCCCTATGTAAAATATTTCCTGTCATGTTTCAGTACTTTCACTGAGATCGAGAATCAATCTGAGAAATCCCCCTGTGGAATCCTCTGGAGACATGGAGATCAGAATAGCAGCCAGATCACTAATACACAATCAAACTGTCTTCTGTCATCAGCGTACCTCTTAGGTACTAGAAGTCTTCTATTAGGACCTGATAGCAGTCTCTTGAAGATTGTCCAAGACATCACCACACAATCACATATATTCCTGCCATCCATCAAACACCATTTGCCCAATCGCTACCCTTGTGACCATCTTTGATTTTAGTTTGACTATTTCACATAATGTGTCCCCATCTCCACACCTACCTAGTGATGCTCTGACTCATTTTGTCTATTCTGTCTTCTGTTCTGTTCAAAAGACTTTCAACTTCTTCTTTGTCTAATGCATGACTACCGTAGCCCTAGAGATCCAGCAGCATCCATCCATGTTGATAAACTTTCACGTTGGCAAAGTTGCCATTTTTGTTTATGTAGGTCATAGCAGTGGTTCTGCCATGGATGCACCGATTCTGTCGTGTGCTTCTTCTGGAAAATGGACTGGAAACCTTTTATAATTTTCTCACAGTCAACTTTGGCTCAGAGCTTGAAGTGGAGCATGCTATGTATGTTATGTTGCTACCATAGACCAGTCCTGAAGAAGGGGAGGTTCTTGGGAGACTAGAGAGGGGGTCCAGCTTTGGGCCCAGATGATGTTATTCTGAAAGAACAGGCAATGGGAAAAAACTAGTCATTAGAACAATTTTAATTTGCATGAGATTGTTTCAGAGATAAGTTCAGACAAAAATAACTGACTGCAATGGTGTTTTATTCTAGAATCAACTGTATTTATTCCCCAGTCTGAATATTCCATTGAAGAAGATATTGGTGAACTGTTCATCCCCATCAGGAGAAGTGGAGACGTGAGTCAGGAGTTGATGGTGATCTGTTATACACAACAAGGTAGCCATTATGAATGAACTGAATGTCCTCCCAAAGAGCTAAATAAGCCTCGCTAGCAGATTGGAGCCATATATTTTGCCATGAGGCAAACGTGAAAATAACCATTTCCTTGAGAAATAAAACATTTTTCCAGAAGGCTTCTGATGATGTAGAGACTGCATCTACTTAGCAAAATAATACTTGATACACTTGGCTACATACTCTAACACTCAAGGATTTACAGGTTGCGAAAGATTGATGTTCTCCTTTGCCACCCATACCAGCTCAAGTAGAACAGGATTGTTGGTTTTTGTTTGTTTGTTTTTAAAGGCAAAGAAATGCATACTCTAGGAAATGAAATAAATTTCAAAGTAGTTTGAAACTCATTATAACAAATTTCAAAACACCTGTTTCGCTTCTGGCTAATCTTCCCCTTAACTGTAGTTTCACATGATGCAGAATTAAAGTTAATACATAGTATTCATTCATATATAAGAAATAGGTTTTCTAATAATGCAAAGAAAAAAGATATACACTGTTGATATCTCAACAGATGTACTTTAAAATTGCCGTTAAGGTATGTAAGTTGAAAGACATAGAGAACAGTGATTAAAAACACAACTTGAGGGTAAGTTTGGGCTCTGGGTCCTGGGGCAGGTGGCTTAAGGTTTTGTAAGTCTTAGTTAGCAAATATATAAACCCAGTGGAGCAGTGGAGAGGATTAATGAGGCAATGCCTGTAAAGCACGTGGCACTTTGCCTACACAAAATAAGCACTGGAGCTATAATTTTATAACATTGCATTAATTTGAAACACCACTAGCAGAAAGAGAGGAGAAAACAATTGAAATGTAATATTCATATGTCAGAGACCATTATGAAGTTGACTTATAATGCTAGAGGAATATGATAGTGTGCTATTGAAGTTTCTGGAAGTGTCCATAGATACTGACTGACCAGTAAAATGCTGCAAGTAAAAAAAAATGGTTTCTGGAAATACCCTGGAAATAAGTTCTACAGACACATCTTTTGGATTCTTTCCCTCCAGGATCAGCCAGCGGAACTGTGCCGACGTCAGTACTGTCCTACTCTGATTACATATCCAGACCTGAGGACCACACCAGTCTAGTCCGCTTTGACAGAGGCGAGCGAGAGAAGATGTGCAGGATTGTGGTGATTGACGACTCCTTGCATGAAGAGGAGGAAACGTTCCATGTCCTTCTGAGCATGCCCATGGGAGGGAGAATTGGATCCAAGTTCCCAGGGGCTCAGGTTACAATCGTCCCTGACAAAGATGATGGTAAGTACTAATTTACCTGAAAATTATTCCTCCTATCAGGAAGACCAACATCAGGCGCAATCTTCTAGACAGAAAAAAAGAGTGTGTAAAAGAATTATTACGTGTGTATTTATTTTATGCTTGATTTTATAGTATGAGTAAGTTTCAAATTTGGTCATATCAATCAATTTGTCTTTCTTGAATGAATGTTTTCAAAAGAGAAAGTCCTTTGTGCCTCCAATTTCTTTATATTTCCCATTAGGTGTTCCAAATTAAAATTTCAAGGTGAGGAGTTAAAGCAATTTTAATAAACTTAATATCTTTTTGTTTATTTTGCTTTGTTTTTAAAAACTTTCATGTATTAACTTTAATCTTAGTGTTTCAACTGGTTTTTCAAAGAAATTCATCAGACGAGGCAGTTAAATGAATAACTAGAAAGGTAATAAACATATGGAAAATTAAGTCTAAGGGACAGTTCTCTGAGCCCCCCAAAAGAGGGAGAGGTATTCTAGACTACTCTCCCTAGGAAAACTAACTTTACATAAAATTATTTCTCCTTCAGAATTTAAAAAAGGAAACAAAAACATATTAAGCTTCTCAGTTTAAGTAACAGTTAGGGTTTCTTGTGAGGCAAGAGAGAATGAGAGGAAAGATTATAATAATCAAATGAGAAAAGTGAGAGCAAAAACTGAAGTTGGGACCCCAGTACTTGAGTAAAATTTTCCCTATTAGATGAAACAGGAAGAAAGGGGGGGGAGGGGGTGGGGAGTGTGGTTGTGCTTTATCCTGCTACCAATCATGTGAAATATGTAAAAATATCTGGATTAAGTTTGAAAATGCTGGTGACGAAAATTAAGAATGATTTTTGCCAACAGAGGTTTGAAGAAAGTGTTGATTCTACCTTGGATAAAGCCCTAAATGTATATAACATATTTCAATATTTTTAACATTTCTTTAGCTTATTAGTTTAAAAACCTTCTATTCTGTATTTCAAGAAAGCACAGAAATTTTATTTTAAATTCAGAGATCAGTATTTTGATAGTCAGACAAAATAGAGCTAATAGTTCACACTAACCACCTACTGCTAAATAGCTAATTGTATTAACATCGATTTAGTTTAAAAATAAAAAATATAATGAATGAATATATTAGTTCAATTTATTGCGTGGGCAAAAAATCTTTCCCATATGTATTGCTATGGGGTGCATGTGGGGAAAATGTAAAGGACAAAGAGAAACCATTATTTATTAAGTGCCACATATATGCTGCTTTATACCAGAATAAAGACTGGTTTCATTATCCTTTTTTATTTATGAAAGAACTGAGCCTTAGAGATACCAAATGACTGATTTGAATTTACAAAGCCAATACAAGACAAGGTCAGTGTTGGGTCCCAAAGGCAGGACACTTCCATGCTGTCACTCTGACAACGTTGTGGAATCATTGGTATCTACAGTTATGTAACATTTGTAACTTTTTCTTATCAATGTTTATTCTGATCTTTATTATTCCATGGTGTTATTTTAAGTTGAGAAGTTGAAACTCGGGGCCTGATCATTCAACTTTCACTGCTATCCTATGTTGTGGGAAGCACCACATGGTTTCTAAAGCCAATAAATGTCTCAAAATAGCAAATAAATAATCCCTGACCTCAGAAAGCGTTGAGTGTAATGAAGAATCAAGAAAAATGCATATTGTACACCAGACAATACACAACTCACTATAAACCAACTTAGCAAATTACTTTTAATAAGCATTATTCTCTGATTGAATGTTTATTCAATAATAAAAGTCTTTTCTTTCTTAAAAAAGAAATCCATTTCACTTTGCTCTGACTAAATGCAGAAAATAGATTAAAAAACTCAGGAGGCTTTTGGAAGAACACAGATGACAGTGGTCTGCAAAGAGTACTTGTAGGGGGATAAAAAGACCGGAAACACCCAATCATTTGTGCTGAGGAAGAGAATCAGCATGACACGTAACTGATTTGACATGAAAGACTGCTGACAGGAAAGACTGAAGAATGAAGTCTTGGTTTCTAGTTAGGACAGTTGAGTTAAGAATGGCATAGTTCACTGACACAAGGAAAACGGGAGTAGAACCAGTCTAGGGACAAAACAATGAGTTCATTCAGGACATGTTAGTTTGAAGAGCTGGCATAACTTCAAAGTGCTGGACATCAAGTAGGGGAATGAAGACATGGGTCTGGAAATTGCAACATAGTTTGCACTAGAGACTTTAAGCCATGTGTTATCACTATTAGTAATAATAAAAGACTTGAGAGAAGAATGATTATTGAAGAGAGCAGAGAATGGGAAATGTGAAGAGAAAGGTTGCATGAGGATACAACAATTCTAGCAAAGAAAGTGATAGAAAGAAATGATCAAGCATGTTTCAGTATTACATGTGGAAAGCAGATTTAAATTCTTAAATCTGCAGTTTCTAGCAAGTGAAAAACTTGCTAGAATTACCTTAATTCCTCTTAGGTATTCATAGTTTTATATGAGTCTCTTCGGCATGGGCATATTTTATTCATTAATAAAGTAAGAGGAAGGAAAAATAAACCAAAAGCTTATTTTCAAGAGATTTGCTTTGTGATCATCTTTGCCAGAACATTTCACATCTTACAAGCATTAGGTTATGCTTTATTAACATCTCTCAGTCTCACTTTCTGTGAATAAAATAAAGTATGCTGTTTAATCTAGTTTTTTTTTGTTCTAGAAGTTATGATGGCATTCAATTTTTTACCTATGTTTTCTTGTTTTAAATATATAACTTTTTAAAGATTTATTTATTTATGCATACAGAGCTAGGGTACAGTGCAGGGGCAGTGAGAGGATTCACCAGAGACAGAATAGAAAGTAGAACAGGCCGACTGACAAAGTACACTGTTAAGGGGAGCAGCAGGCTGGTCAGAAGAGGTCTGCCGAGCCATGTGGATCACTTCCAGGGGGCGGGGATTGAACTCATGCTGACGTGGCTTTAGCTTCTCAGTGCTATGCTTTAACCCACTGCACCACCAGAGAGGGCTCTAAATATATAATTTTTAATTCATGTGTGTGTGTGTGTGTGTGTGTGTATAGAAGAGGGATGTAGGCTAGAGGTACTGGGAATGAGAGTATCTACCAGAAACAGAGTAGGGAGCTGAACAGGTGGATCTACTGAAACACACTGCTGAGGGGAGCAGCTAGAGAGATTGGAGAGGTCTGCTGTGCCATGTAGATCAGCTCCCTGGCTCTGGGCATCAAATGCAAGCCATAGTGTTGGCAGTGTTGAGACCTAACTCGTAGGCCCCTATATTTTCTCATTTCAGAAGTTAAAATCCTAGGCTGACATGTTTCCTATTATGCACATAATCTGTAACTGAGTATTTCTAGCCATGAGTACTCCGCAGTATTTCACTGGTCATGAAGAGAAGAAAGAATGCTCAGTTAAATGGGGGAAAGTCAGATTTCATTTAGATACGGTAATGCAGGTACATTACTAACTAGCTGTCACTTTGATCACTTAATTTTATACTAAGGACTTCATGACTAATTTTATACTAAGGATTTAATCTATCTAGTTAAATCTCAAAATAACTCTATGACATAGGCAGTTATCTTCTCCACCTGATAGATGGAAAAACTATATAGACTGAGAAAATTTAAGCAAATTCTTTAAAAACACACATGTAAAGTGTTGGGTATATGTCCTAAACTGGTCATTTGAATGAGCTACTTCAACACTAAACTATTATGAATCCCGAAATGCATCAAGGGGTTCAAATATCAATAATACCTAATGGGATAACACTGTGGGGGAGAAGGGGAATATTTTTTTCTGAAGAGGCAGATTTTTCAATTTCTAATCACTAACGATTTTGTAATTAGAGTCAGTAAAATGTTCCAACCTGTTACTACTCATCTGAGTGAAACCATCTGCTTGATTCTCCAACCCTCTGTCCTGACCACCATTTCCATTTCTGTGATAAAAAACCAAATGGTGCATCAAGCCATCAACTACCCCCTGGCTGAAAAAGAAACAAATCTTTTGCAACTGTGTAATTCAGAGCAATCTGAAATTCTAAAAATGTAAATTGATTCTCTAAAACTGCAGGGTGAAGAACCACAAGCTACACCATGAGTAATTACATCATAGGTACCCCCATCCAAAAATCTCAAGGGCCATTTTCTGACCTAACATTTAAAAAAAAGAAAAAGATTTATTTATTCATGCATACAAGAAGTGGGGTGCAGGCCAGAGGTGCGGGAGTGGGGGTGAGAGGATTCACCAGAGATAGTGGGAAGCAGAACAGGCAGATCTACTGAAATATACTGTTGAGGGGAGCAGTGGGCAAGACAGGAGAGGTCTGACACACTATGTGTGTCACTTCCCTGGCTGGGAATCAAACCCATAATGTTGTGGCTGCAGATAACTTCATAGTGCTTTAACCCGATGTGCCACCAGGGAGGGTCCTGTCCTAGCTAACTCTTAATGGCGTGAGAGTAGAGCAGAGCTTGAAGTACAGAAATATATCTTGATAAAATCTAATTTGTATCTTTAAGAAACAGCTAAAATTGTCCTTTCCGTTAGAAGAAATTTAGCTGCTCGCAAGAAACACACTGTGGTGAGAATAATGCTCAGATTTTGTGCTCGTATCCTCAACATGCCACATCAATGTCTTTTGTCCTCAGTACTTATGTAAAGGTTACATTTAACACTATAGCACTCATTCATAAGGACAAACATTAAGACAATGCTAACAATATTTCTCTAATCTTTGCTGTCAGCTTTTGGGAATTAATTACAGTACATTCAAGCTGATTCCATTTTCTGTTTTTATGTAATACCCACAGGGCTTCCAGCTTCCTTGACCACCCTTGAAAAATTACCACACTAAATATGAGCCAGGGACATGAAAGGCAGTGTGTGAGCATTTACATTGAGTAAATGTAATTCATTCAATTCAGTGCCATTCGCAAGTTTACTGACATCAGAAAAGCTTTCTCAACAGCAGGAGGACTTCAGAGAAGAAAACA